GATTTTTGCTACACCAACTCTGTGCTTGCGAGAGGGGAAGTATTTCCTCTTTGAGGCACCCAGGGGTGTGTGTGTAATTTCCTAGGTCACTGGGTGGAGGTTCGAGCTGGTTTTGCATTGTATTGTTGAAAGGGAACCCCTATGTACTGAACCCGGCCCTTGCCGCTGTCAACTCGGTCTGGCAGAAGGGTTACATTAATAATGAGATAGACTGACAGTAAAGAAATTAGAAGTGCTGGAATGGATAAATCAGAGACTGTTTGGGCCAAAATCACTTTGGGAAAGAAAGCTACCAGAGGCTCCCCTGAGATAGTGCTTGGGGTCTGCTACAGACCCCCAGGATCCTATGCGGATATGGATAGAGACCTCCAGAATACCTTTAATGAAATATATACTCCAGGGAGCTGTGTGATTATGGGAGACTTTAATTTCCCAGGTATAGATCGGAGGACAAGTGCTAATCAGAATGGTACGGCCCTACACTTTGCAGGGTGTGAGAGCTGACAGATTTCTTCACCAGATAGTCACCAAACCAAGAAGAGGTGATGCCATTTTAGATTGAGTGTTGGTGAGTAGGGAGGACCTCCAGAGAAGAGCTGGTTGTAGGGGACAACCTTAGTTTGCGTGATCATAAGCTAATTCAGTGTCAACTAAATGGAAGGATAAACAAAACTAAGTCTGCAACCAGGGGCCTTGATTTCAAAATGGGAAACTTTAATATATTAAGGCAATTAACTAGGGGAATGGACTGAGATGAAGCACTCAAGGATCTGAAAGTGGGGGAGGCTTGGAATTACTTTAAGTCAAAGTTGCAGAAACTCTCTGAAGCCTGCATCCCAAGCAAGGGGAAAAACTTCCTAGGGAAGGGTTGCAGACCAGGATGGATGAACAAGCGTCTCACACAGGTGATTAAGAGAAAGCAGAAATCCTACTAAGAATGGAAGATGGGATGGATCACCAAGGAAAACTACCTCTTGGAGATCAAAGTGCAGGGAAAAGTGACAACTGCCAAGATCCAAGCAGAGCTGGACCTTGCAAAGGGAATTAAAACCAACAGTAAATGGTTCTATAGCCATATAAAAAAATAGGGACTGCCCAACACGGAGGATGTGTTGGAGATTGAAGACAATCTAGGCATGGGCAAATGCCTAAATAAATACTTTGCCTCCGTTTTTAATAAATGGAATGAGGAGTTAGGGGTAGTGGCAGGCTGGCTAAAGGGAACGAGGATATGGAAGTAGAAATGACCACATCTTAGGTGGAAATCAAACTCGAACAGCTTAATAGGCCCAAACTGGGGGGCCTGGATAATCTCCATCCGAGAATATTAAAGGAACTGGCATGTGAAATTGCAAGCCCACCAGCATGGATTTTTAGTGAATCCATAAACTCAGGGGTCAGACCCAGTGACTGGAGAATTGCTGATGGAGTTCCTATTTTTTAGAAACAGGAAAGAAGTGAGCCAGGAAACTACAGACATTTTAGTTTGACCTCAATTGTATGCTCGGTCTTTGAACAAATTTGGAAGTAGAAAGTAGTTAGGGCAGGGGCGGGCAAACTATGGCCTGCGGGCCGGAGCTGCCTCCTCAGGGCTTTGGATCCGGCCCGCGGGATTGTCCCACATGGTGCCGCAGGCCCCGTGCCGCTCCGGGAAGCTGCCGGCACCACGTCCCTGCAGCCCCCGGGCCGGGGGGGGCAGAGAGCTCCGTGTGTTGCTCTTGTCTGTGGATACCTCCCCCGAAACTCCCATTGGCCAGGAACAGGGAACCACAGCCCATGGGAGCTTCGGGGGAGGTACCCACAGGCAAGGGCACTACATGGAGCTCTCTGCCCTCTTTCCCCGGGGGGCCGCAGGAACATGGTGCCGTCTGCCTCCCAGAGCGGCACGGGGCCGGGGCCACGGCACGCAGGAAGGGAGCCTGCCCTGGCCCCAGTGCACGCCACTGCCACCCCGGAGCTGCTCCAGGTAAGTGGTGCTGGGCCGAAG